GGATAAAATTACTAAGGACGGCAGTGCATAGCAAACCACGCCGATGGTGACGATATAAAAGATGTGGTAACCTGGTTGTGTCCAGGTGAAAGAGCAATGAGATCGGTGTGGATTAAATTCGTACTCGTTCCATCCAATGAGAGGTGCCATCGAGAAAGCTGCGCTCTGTACCCAGATGTAAGCAATTACAAACAGTACCTTGGCCAAAGTTGCTTTGGCTGCATACTCCATCGGTTTGACTATTGAGTAGTACCTATCGACGCTTATAGCACTCAGTGATGATATAGATGCGAAAGTGCAAAACGCGTTGAGAAAGCCGTTGGCATGGCAGAAATCTTCGCCGAATATCCACTCTTGCATTCCTGCTGTTATTATCGAGACAGGCAAAATAATTAGCGCTGCGATCAGATCCACGATACACAGATTCAGTACAAATAGATGTGGGAGCGATCGGAGTTGAGGCGATCGGTATATCACAGCCATGACCGACACGTTTCCGATAATTGACATCAAGTCAACAAGTATCATCGCTGTCAGCTGCCCGGCGAGAGCCGCATCCACACTATTATATTCTGTGATAGAAACGTTCCCTTTTCCCGTGAGTAGCGATGAATCGTTTTCCATGATCGAGTCTACTCTCTACTAAAATCTCCACTCTAGGATCTCCACGTCAGGCTCTGAGTTGGCACAAAACAAATGAGAAGCTCTCGTAGCGAATGAACTGGTTATTGTTTCCTTGAATACCTTTAGCGCTGTGGTCATTCGACGTCACTAGAACTCGTCCAATCTACACGGCAATTGACGGAACATGTAGTCAACAATTTCCCGTTACAATGTATTCCTGTAAAATAAACACCACTGCGCATGTTCATGTTCACGATGACGTCAGACTGCTTATGCATCGACGTTTTATGAAATCACTTGTTGGAGTAAATGTATATATATTGATGCACAAATCGTTTTTATATCACAGTCATCTATCTCGTGGCGGACTTTAAATGTCAATGTTTACCTTACCGAAACTGCACACAGTAGCAACACAGTGGCGTTTTCAGTATCCCTGCTCATTATGTTAATTTGCATTTCACAATGAGACAAAAACAGGACAGATTTCTATTTGTACAAACCGGGTCGATGTTGACAAAAAGAGGAAATTCACTATGTTCCGCTGACATTCATTATCTCGTTTAACTAGATTTCCGGGATTGTATTGCAAGATTATAAAATAACCCGCTTTACTGAATACGGTTTTGTGTCAGTCCACCTACCTATCCGGACAGAAAAGGTCAACTATGATTGCGTGTCCGCATTTAAATATAATGAAGCAATACATCGAGACGTATAATTCGTATTTATAATTCTATTGAGAGCAATCTGTTTAGTGTGTGGTAATTTCATTTGACGCACACAATGATCACCATTTGATTTTTCATTGCAGTGCGACGTTGCGGATCGCTGAATAGTGATGCATTATATGCATGTACATACAGTGAACATGAAACGTATTTGATATATTATTGGTAATTTTAATCTCCCCCGCACACATATAACCTCATTCATAAAATGACATTAAGTTACAGACTATAAAATTATATTCTGCCGTGTACATACTGTTTTTTAGCTGTATCATAATTGTGTTGTTGATTGTTTTATTCTGAATTACTCATACACGACTAGTTGACTGTCGTCGTATCGTCAGTGTCTCAACTTTTATTTTATTTTGATACAAGTGACACAAACCGTACATGTTAACCGTGCCAGTAAATTGTCATACAGCAATTCGAATCGTGGTAATAAAGCCAAGTTCAGCGATATGAAATTCAAATCGTGGTGGCATAGGTCTGGTCGATTTATCCACTGAAAAAATAACGGCGTCATTCATTGCCTTCCGACAATGGTCCACTTTCGTCAAATTACCTTTTCAGCTCACTACTTGGTCCTTTTGTTCAAACTTATAACACAACAAAATATTGTTCAATTTCGATTTTACAATGCAAATAATATCCGGCGCATATACATTGATAAACTCAAAACAGAAATATAATAAAAAAAAGATTATTTTGTATATGGAAATCCTTGTACGTAAATAAGCAAAGATGAAATTCACGGAATATAAAAAAAAATGGCAAAGGAACGGAAAATCAGTGAGTAGTCAGGATATGTGTAAAATCAGATCGATATTTCATGCAAATATTGCAGCGATCTGCATAAAATTAGTCGCCTATAGGTGTGGCATTTACACACAACGATTTGGAGCAAACGTTACAATTCATCACTATAAAGGTACTAACCTAATAGTCACACACGGCGGTGTTACGCTTCCATAGCCATGTATGGCAAGGTAATCTTAACACGTTACATCACGTACTCCTATATCATATGGCGATGACGGGATAATGACTTAAGATAAACTCCTACGTTAACCAATCATCCGTGGTTTAGTACCGTGGAATGTATCGAAGAAAATACGAAAATATCTGAAGGTCAAACTGAGTGAAAATACGCTTGTTGATACGAGTGACGTCACATGTCAGTGCCAACATGCGAGTGATTGTTGCTATCCCGTCTGGAATTCTCCTATCGCAAGGATAAAATTGGCAACATCGCACGATTTGCTTTTTTTTTCTACATGCTGTTCGAACACGCATAAATGATAACGTTTAAAGCGAACACGTATACCGTATATCAGCTAGTTCATACTAAACGACACAACTGTGAATGATATGCACCATATTGCGTGTTTTAAGTTATGCAAGCCATGGTTTTGTTAGGCACTAGAATAAGGATAGAAAATATTGATACTAAACCAGTATCTCCATGGTTTTATTTCTGTTTTGCTTGTTGCGGTATATATATATATATATATATATATATATATATATATATATACCGTATCGATCTACACGGAGCGAGGTCGATTTGGGCCGTACTGCCTGAGCGCATGCTTTGCGGCATTCTCGCGATAATCTTATATGTATTTTCTCTGCTTGTAATAATGAAATGATAGGTAACGAGCCCAAAATGCCAACGACAAACGTTTTGCGGCTGCGCGAACGTCTGCGTTCAGTGACGCATAGATTAGAGTTCAATACGACTGGTATTCAGAAATAGTTTGTTTGTTTTTTTGGCTAAGGCAGATAAAGAGAAACCGAGACGCGATCGTCTAGCCTACAGAATTGAATACGTCTTGTGCAATTCGCTGGTCATTCGCCTGTTTTCAATAGTCCGTATATGTAAAAAGGACACTAGAGAAATAGGCCGTCATGTAATTCTTCAGCCAATCATTCATATAGCATATATACTATCGTATTCGAATATATCTAAGCTTTCAGAAGATGTACAGGTTATATTAGCATGCTTGGCAAGAATGTCTGAATCACAGATCAATTAACTCAGTTTCCCCCTGTTGCTGCCTTAATGAACAGCATTGTATACGTACTTAAATGAAATTGTCAATTTACAATGTATTTTGAGAATATATTATATATTCATTGTATAAATCAGTAAATCAATTTCCATCAATTATTTGGTAAGCATCTCAATTTGTAACTAAATAGACGCTCCATATTGTACCCTTCACATTCATACTAGTAATTGTGTCCAGGAAGTATTATTGTTATAAATAAATATTTATAATTATTGTTTGCTTCATAATATAGACTAAATAAAATATATTATTGTGTGCTATGACAACGAGATAATTTGTTAATATTTATCTAACGCTGAGATATATTTCTTACTGATTCCGTAAACCGTAAATTTTTCACAATGTAGTAATAAGCTGAAGGTCCCCCTCTAAGACGGCTACTGTGAGGTGGTCAAAATCGCGTGTTTTACACAAATACACGAATGAGACAGCAATGTCACGTCTGACACATTTGTAACAATATATCATTGTCTGAGTACCCTCTACGACGTTGTTATGAGTATTGGCGCCTATATGACAAAATATTGCAGACAACCATTCTCAATTTACATCCTCCTAAAAATGAAGTTTTCATCTATATATGAAATTATATACACAAATTTGTCTCCAATTCTAATTGAATTCTACTCCATAAACCAACATTTAAGCTGCCATAGACTTATTACTACTTGATACGTTGTACGCAGTAATTATCAATATTTCAATGTTTCCAGTATTACATTTTACATCCCTTCTCTAAAAAATAAATTCACAAAAAAATCATACCGATTCAGGTTCTATATTCTGTTCAGATTTTCTCACTAGAAACAAATGTCTACTATACATAAAACAATTGCTAACCAATAACGTTGTCAGTCGACTATTTTAAACTAAATCGCGCAACAAAATAATGTTCATCAGCAACACACCATGCATTGTGTTTATATACCAGACCCATGGAATTCCTGACAACATGTTAGAATGTTTGTGTGTGTCGCATACGACTTATTTACCACTTCCGTGTCACTGAGAATGTTCTAGAACCATACTGTGTCTGGGTGGAATATTCTAGATTTTGTTTAGAAACTGGTTGAATAGGTAATAGAACACTGTAGGAGGCAATAGAAGGTAATGGAACATTCTAGAATTTGTAGTAAGTTCCAGACTCATTATGTATGCTGATGTAATGGTCTATTTATAGACAGTGTGGGTATATATAGGGGAGTTGTTCAGCACTGAGTTCAGATCGGAGATCTCGTTGAATTGTGTTGGAGTTTAAGGTAGCGGGACTATTATTTGCATACTTGTTTTCATTTTCTAATTGTGACCAAATGACTACAAATAGACCCAGGAAAGTATATATTTTTAGAATCGCCAGACTTCAAACTTT